CCCTCTCATGGTTCTCTCATAAGTCCCTCAAGGTTCCCTCTCATGGTGGTTTCAGTCAAAGACTTGCGTCACTTTGTAAACCATGTCAACAGCAGCGCTTCTCAAGTTGTAACCTTTCATCCTTGAATGTTTACTCCATTAGCTTTGTCAAGCACCTGCAGTTGATACAGAGTCAGTTCATTGCACCCTGATCAACAATGTCAACTTGTTCGTGCAAGCTACCAAAAACACAAGCACCTGGCACTGTGGAATGCGCAGTTAGAGTGTAGTACCTGAACACCCTACCTTAATTTATCGGTTTCACCCACATGAAGCTCAAGGCGGCCAACAGCAAAGGATCAAAGCTGCCCGATCAGAGGAAGAATCATCCGCTGCTGGCATCACTCAGCAAAGCGCTTTGGTCACCTTTCTTTTGACCTTGTTCACTTGGGGAGAGTTTTCGCCTCAACGCTGCCAGCACATTGCTGCTTTGGCACTAGAAGACTTGGAGAAGCACCACACCAACAAGCACATATTCAGTGACCTGAAGGCCTTGGCCAGCATTGGGAGCAATGGCGCATATCCAAACAAGATGCACCAAGATTTGATGCAAAGGACGAAGAACATCAGCAAGGTACCGCAGCCCTACCTTTTCAATGCAAAGTTCAAAAGCCCGGTGGGGGTGCAGAACCAATCCCTGCTTTTACCTCATGAGCTTTTCGCAACCATTGCTGCAGAGTACCAGACCACATGGTTCAAAAGCATTTGCCCAGACCAATCCAACCTTGAGACATTTTGGGAAACCGCTGTCAACCATCCGCTTCTTCACGACCATCCTGTATTGCATCGAAAGCATTGGCGGCGGTACGCCGTCCCCATCGCTCTCCACGGCGATGGGGTTCCTGTGGTTGGAATTGGAAAGGCCTGGGCCAAACTCCTGAATGTGTTCTCATGGTTCAGCTTGGTGGGCACAGGGACCACACGGTCCAAGTTGTTTTACACCTACTCCTGTTGGGACAAGATCTGTGAAGGATCATTTCCAGATGGTAGCTTGGGTTCAGCCTTCCGAGTCCTCCAGTGGTCTTTCTATTGGCTTTGGCTTGGCCAATGGCCTGACCGAGACCACAAAGGAAAAGTGTTGCCTGAATTCATTGCAATTTTTGTGTGAGATAATGTAAAGACGTATAATGCTATATGTTTGTTGGTTTGGTAGGTTGCTTTTCGCACTATTCGTTAAATAAATATATATATATAGAGTTAGTAGCGGGTGTTTCAACGTTTTGTGTGGAACTTTTGACTTCAACCCTTCATTCAGGTATCCGCAGGGTTCAGCAGAATCCCTTCGTGCTGGGAAACCTTTAGCCCAAGGATTCTTTGGCCTGTTGTTCGCCTTGACTGGCGATCTCGATTACTTCGCCAATGTGCTCAACCTTCCACACTTTGCAAAGAAACAAGGATGTTGCAGCGTTTGCCGTTGCGATGAAGAAGGCGAAGTCAGCTGGACTGACTTTAACCCAAATGCTGCCTGGACCAATAGCCATTGGACACGAGCAGAGTGGCTTGCTTGGCCGCAACGAAGCAAATGCCAGCTGTTCAACTTACCCGGAGCTTTCTCGGCGTTGGTTGCGTTAGATTTTATGCGCTCGAAATACCTTGGCTCAGACCAACTCATGTATGGGTCGGTACTGACCTTGTTGGTGTTCCACATGTTGCCTGAGACTCCGGAGGCAAACCTGGCCCGAATATGGCAAGAGATTCGAGCTTGGTACAACCGCAATCCAGTTCCTGTGCGTTTTCGATACTTGAACAAACTCAGCATGTTCGTACGCCAGAGCGGCTTCCCCAAGTTACGCGGCAAAGCCGCAGAGATACGTTACCTAGCAGGACCCATGCTAGAAGTATGGCGCCGCCACATGAACGAAGGAGTGCAACTACATCGTCGCGACTCTTCTTGTTTGGTGTGATTTTCTATGGGCGTTTGTGTGATATTTCATGTGATACTATACACAGGCCTTTGCAAAACATGTCCATATGCGTCTCACAGGAAACATTGCGCAGCTCAGGTATCGCGTTGATGCTCAAACTCAACTACAAGATTGAAACTCTCCTTACAGACTTTAAAGACCACTACGCCTTCCCCGAACCAGCGGCCAGTGAATTCAAGCAAAACGCTTTTGGCATGTATGCCTTGCAAATGCAGATTATGAAACACTTCTTGGATGAAGACCTTCAGCTTTTCTCTGTGACCAGCAAGAGCCACATGGTTTTGGAGTCTGTGCTGTTGTGTGACAAGGTGAGTCCTATAGACTTCTATGGACATTTGCAGGGGAAGACCAAATGGCCAAGACCCAATTATTAGCCAAAGCGTGCGTCAAAGGAAATTCTGCAGCTCAAGCAACCGTGAAAATGTCCCAACACTACAGGTTGGGGCTACACTTTGTATTCAAGGACCATGAGCTCCGCAGAGCTTAGGGGACCCTGTGTGTATCACCTGATGGACTGCGTGCTCAGGACTTCCAGTGAAAACTAGACGACGAGTGGCCCGAAAGCATTTTTCATCACGTAGGAAGTCAGAGTGCGAGTTATCCGGTAAGTGTGCAGTGAGAGGTGTGAAGTCGAGTGAGTTGAGGTAGTGTGTGGGTTTCTGTGCGTGTGTCTATGTCCGTGTGGAAATGAGTCTGCGTATGTGTGTGTTCGTGTAAGTTGAGGGAGTGTGTGGGTGTCTGTGTGTGATGCGGCCTCCCAAACCCCCAACCGGCGGCCAAGCGGTGACAGCCTCGATACTCCAAGCTCAAAAAAACGAACACGCAACGAGACGTGCCTAAACCAAACTATATGAATCTAAACGAAACGTAGGTAAGTCCAGGAGCACCTAGTAGCGCCCTTGCTCCTAGTAATTTCATCGCGTAGGACGTCTGAGTGCGAGTTCTCTGTTACGCGTGCAGTGTGAAGTGTCAAATCGAGTGAGTTGAGGTAATGTGTGGGTCTCTGTCACTGTGTGTGTATCTATGTCCGTGTGTATATGCGTCTCTGTCTGTGTGTGTGTCCGAGTAAGTTGAGGCAGCCAGTTCTCATCTTCCAGCTCCCCAGCTACTCCGCGTACTACAGTTGTACGACACAGTCGCCAGTGTTCATCTTCCAGCTCCACAGATACTCCGCGTATTCAACTTGTACTACCCACTCACCAGTTCTCATCTTCCCACTCCCCAGCTACTCTGCGTACTAAAGTTGTACTACCAAATCGCCAGTTCTCATCTTCCAGCTCCCCAGCTACTCCGCGCACTACAGTTGTACTACACAATCGCCAGTTCGCAGCTACTACCCACTCGCCAGTTCTCATCTTCCCATTCCCCAGCTACTCTGCGTACTAAAGTTGTACTACCAAGTCGCCAGTT